TAGTAAGAAAAGAAAAGTTAGTGAAGGTACTTAGGTACTTAACTGTGACAGGAAAAACAAATAAAAAATGGCAAAGGAGAAGCCATTAGAGGCCCATATAAAAAGAGTCTAACCCTCACACAAGCCAAGCCGCTATAAATCAATCAATCACGACATCTCAGCTTTGAGCTTTTTTTATTAGGAATTTCTAACTATTTGTACATTTGACAGTCTAGGTTTGTATTGTGGATTATTCATAAACAAAAATGCCGATATTTAATCTAGCTTCCCAAATTTTGCTTGGTATTTCTTTCTGGCCGTCTCGTCCATGACAACGGTTGCAACAATATTTCCTTCCTCGTCAGCTGTTGTGTTCTGGACTGTTGTCTCGTGGTAAAGCCAGCTACAACGTGCAAACGAACAAACAAACAAGAAAAGGTATTCATCAACAAGCAGCCTACAAAGCTTATCAAAAGGCCATTTCCGAGTTACCTTGTGCCTCTGTTTCAAAACGAGTCCTGTTTCAAAAAGAGTCCTTGATTTGCATAAAAATGAACTTGTACGCGAAACTGATTTTTATATAAATGATTTCGCAAGAAGACTCGTTTCGATACTGAGGCACTGGGAAATGACCTATTTACCTAGCATGCTTTACGCGAAGAGTCACCTGATAAACTCGCATCATCTCGCAGGTTGTCACGTGTTTTCGTCACGTGTCACTGTAACGTCATGTCGTTACAGCCCAAGAGAAAAATCTCGATCTGTAACTTACAATACGGACCTCGAACTCGGTTAGTAAGAAGGATGTCTTACATGTATCCTGTCTAACTGCCAAGGTACGGTGATACGTGCATCATACTGCAGTCAGTTATCAGTTATTCGTCTTGTGTAGAAAGCTTCTAATTAGTCATAGAGCTTGTCCGGGTTGTTTTTGGTGGAGGNGCTCCCACAAATCCATTATAGCTCATTGGCACATATAATGTGTCGGCCACTGAGCCAAAGGGTGAGGATTCGTCGACTTCTGTTATACATCATGTATTCATGAGCTTTTATTTTTATCTCACCTGAGCTGTGGTCCATCAGGGGGAAAAACAAGTTTTTTTATCTGCCTTCCTGTGGATGCCATAATTCCTTGTTCAATCTTACTACGCAGTTCATTCAGACCTGTCTTGTTGACAGAAGAGATGCTCACACGTTTGTCACTCAGCACACCAGATTTTACTTCCAGACTTTTCTCGTCACTACAACGAAAAGGGCAGTATGCAAGGTCCTTGAGCAGAAAAACAAGTTACTATATTACA